GGCAGGGGCTCTGCAGCTGGGGCTTAAGAAAACAGGTGTGGGCAGTGCGAGGACGTGGGTCTGGTTCCTGAGGCTTCTGCCCATTCGCTGAATGTCCCATGAGAGCTACTTAGCCTCTGTCGGCCCCGGTTTCCTCCTTTGTAGAATGCAGACTGTCACACCTGCCCCGGGGGAGTCGCTGGGAAGGGTGACAGGACGATGCGCTACAAGCTCATGGAAGGGCATTAGCACAGCGTAAGGATGCAGTAAAGGCAGTAATGCCAATAACAACAAGCAGTATTTCTCCATTTGTTTCCCAGATATTTCTATTATTTGAGGGTTCTCTCCACCCTCCCCCCCGCAAAATAACAGTTGTTTCATTTTCCTTCTTCCCCCAGAGTTGTTCCCTCTCCCTAGAAAACCCTTCTCCCCTCCAGAGCTAATATTTATTGAGTCCTAACTACATGTTCCAGGCAGTTTTAAGTGTTTCACAGGTATTAACTCATTTGTAATAATCCACTGGGGTCAGGGCTACTATTTTCCCGATGTTAAAGATCAGGAAATTGGGGCTCGAAGAGGTCGAGCAACTTGCCCAGGGTTCACACAGCTCGTGGGTGGAGACCCACCCTGGCCCTGAGGGTGCTCTCTGAGCCCCGCTGTGCACTGCCTCAGTGTGCCCAAATCCCCCCCGTGGCTTCAGTGCCAGCTCCTCTTCCTCCAAAGAGCCTTTTCCAATCTCCTAACTGGAAATGACCTTGCTTCTCCCTTTAAAATCCCGCCACTTCTTTGTTAGTATCTATGTGACAGCCTTTGCCTTCTACTTGATACCTTTATATTTGTGCACAGTACATGTCTAGCTTACCTACCTGTCCTGATATTCCATGAGGGTGAGGGCCAGGTCTTATTTCACTTTATACACTCCAAAGACCTGGCAACATGCTTTCGTAAGAAATTAGACCACCATTATAAGAAATTAGACCCTGGGCAAATATCACAGACTCCATTCTAAAGCTAAAGCCAACCAAAAACTTGCAGTACCAGCAATAAAATGCATTAAGTAAATGATTGTGAAAGTAACTGCCACACACAAGGGCTCTCTCCACATTCCAACTGGTAACCACACTTTTGAATGCTAGATCTTTGACCTCTGGCTTCTCCTTCACATGCAGAGCACAGAGGGGCTGAGCTGAGAGCTGAAGCGTGAGTGGGAATGGAATGGGAGAAAGGGTAGGGCCCAGGCGACTTTTTCTGGAATCTCCTTTGAAGCCCGAGGCCGAGAAGTTGAGAGAGCCCCGAGACCAGCTCTGAGGGATGAGCTGTTGCAATTCTTCAGATGCCAAGACCAAGTTCACACACCACAAAGACAATTGAGACAAGGATATCATCAACTCCCTGTCTCTACACTGACAATGGCCCCTGGTAACAAAATACCATGTCTGTCGCTAACAGTACCACAGAAGATTTATGTAAATGCAAAATGACTAAGACTTTCTAGAAAGTGCACATCCTGTCTTGGGTATGACCAAACATTTGCGAGATGGGAATCATCTCCATTGGACTCTGGGCTGTTATAAGAAAAGTTGAACTGGTAGGACAGTGGGCGTGTGAGTGCTGACTCTCCTGAAGATCCACATCTACAAGGAACCCATACGTCTGAGGGAGGAAGCCCAGCGGAGGCCATTGGGACCTGATAAATGAACAGAGGAGCAGAAGTGACCATAGGGACGCAGTGAGCCTGTGGGCCCTGGGCTCCAGCGAGGGTGGGGAGGGCGTGCACCCCAGACAGATCCTGTGGAGTTTGGGGCAAGATCCAGAGGAACCTGATAGGCATCCTTATTCAGCTAAAAGTGGGGCCATAGAAGAAGTAAAACTAAAAGGTGGAGCTTCCTCTCTACACCTAAGTGTGGCCCAAGGAATTGTTGGGTGAGAGGTGGAAATGAAGAGAGTGCTGGGAGGAGACAAACTATCTCAGTGCTCACGGCAGCCCAGAAGGAAGGCTGGCCACAGCAGATGCAACGTCCAGACACTCGAGGAAAGATAAACAGGATCCCACAAAGGCTCTGACACAGCGGTTCTTAACCCTTTTTGAGTCTCTGACCCCTTTGGAAATATGATGAAAATTCTCTCCTCAGAAAAAGAGCATACATGTTCCCACAGGGGTCTTTATGGTGGAGAAACTGTTCCTATTACAGCTGAACTGCAGACGACGACACAAGGAAACAGGTGGGGAGGGGGAAAGAGGCCGACGGAGGGGAGCAGAGAGAGTTTTGTAGGGTTCTCATCCATAACAGATGGAAGGAAGGGTAGCCAACAGCACATTATGAACAAAAGTTGTGGCATGGGGCTGTGAGAACAGGCCAAGAAGGCGTAAGTCCGAAATGAGGTGGAATTTTTTTCCTGTTAAAATTAACAAACATCGGCTGTACTGGAGTTCAGAGCACCAAGAACAACAGGAAAAGCTGGCAGTCTGACATTTATTTGCACAGCTCCCCAACCTCTGCGTTCATCTCCATTCTGTCTTTTCTATTGAGAAAATTAATTTCCAGACTCTAACATGCAATACTACATTATTAAGAAGGAACTGAGCCCCAAGACTAAACAAGTTAGATAGCAACTGGCCATGTTAAACAATTCAAGAATCTTGGCCTAGAACAAGCACCTGCTGGGAGGTGCTTAGCTGAGAAAAGAGGAAACTCCCACTTCTGTCGTGGGAAATGGTTTTAGATCTTTTGCTGTGTCACTCTGGAAGACAAAATGAGGATCAGTGGATGAAAATCTCAGGGATGTAAATGTCAGATTCCTATTAGGACGAATAACAAGTAGAGTTTTTCTCAAGTGGGGTGGACTGCCTTGGGAGTCTCTTGTCGCAGTAGGTATTCACGTGAACACCGGGCAACCAGTTTAGAGGGCTCCTGTGGGAGGGTTGGGACAAAAGGTCCCTTCTAACCCTGAAAGCCTGGGGTTCTGTGGCTCTACAAGACAAAGGGAGAAAAGAATGAGTACTTTCTTAGGCTACCTTCAGAGTTTTTAACTTCGCTTCTCTACCTCTGAATTGGTGCACACCACTCCAGAGTATGACCCCTACTCACCCCTCCACCCTCTGTCTTTCTTCCCTTCTCCTTGTCCCTTGTTCCACTCGTCAGTTCTTTTTCTCACTCTTCTTTTATTCTTCTTTATTTCTTTTCACTCAAATCCTAAAAGTTGGTGAAGAAGAAGGCACTTTTGTGCTTCCTGTCTAGAATCCCTCTCCCTGGGTTCTTGTCTATTTATATCTTACCCAAGTTTGCCACACCTCTCCCATGAAGCCCTCCCTGACCACTCCTCCTCTGAGCCCCTACTGCTCTGATCCCACACCTCTCCCTTAATCCTTAGACTCATAGGGTCTGGTGTCCTTTCTTCTATTTTGAATCATAACATAATTTCACTTTTCACATGTAGATAATTTTTCCTCCAGAAGAATATAAACTCATGGAATGAAAGATTTTTTTAAAGATTTTATTTATTTATTTTTAGAGAGAGGAGAAGGGAAGGAGAAAGAAAGGGAGAGAAACATCAATGTGTGGTTGCACCCCCTACTGGGGACCTGGCCCACAACCCAGGCATGTGCCCTGACTGGGAATGGAACCAGCAACTTTTTGGTTGGCAGGCCCATGCTCAATCCACTGAGCTACACAAGCCAAGGATGAGTGAAAGATTTAAAAAAAAATCTCCTAAAGCATCTACTACTGTGAACTTCACAATTATTCTGAATAAAAGCTAGATTCTACCACCTAAGATTCTATATATATAATAGGGATGCAAATAAAACAACTGGACTAAAGCTGGATATTGCAAGAAGTTAGCTGAGCTCTAAATGATCAGAATCGGAGAGCTGGAAGGGACATTAAAGATGATCTAATCAACTCCCTCACTTTGCATTCCATGCACTGGAGCTGAGTATTTATGTGACCTGGGAGCAGAACTGGACTAGAGCCAGGCTCTATGTTTCCAGAACAGTGTGCTCTCTTTGATCTCTCAATGCAAAGCCTTGATGAGTAGTACTAAAGGAAGCTAATAGTTGTGAGTCTTCAAAAGTGAGTAAAACCTCTACTTGCCTGCAGGCATAGAGATGGACTAATTGACTTCTGAAGTTTCTCAGAGACAGGTTGTGTAATCACCCACCTGGGCATCTTATTGAAAGCATGTTTTTGCAATTGTGCCATCTAGTGGTATGAGGTAGACATTGCACCATCGGCCCTCTCCACTAATACATTTTACCTCAAAAGCCCTAATAACCAAAGAACTTTTAGAGAATGCCAAACAGATGATGGGCGATGCTAGTGCTGTTCTCAGGTAATTACACTTGTTTTGGGCAGCAAAAAGATAAATAGAGGCCCTGGCTGGGTATCTCAGTTGGTTGTGGGTTTGATTCCTGGTCAGGGCACATACAAAAATCAACCAACAGCTCTGACTGGTATGACTCAGTGGATTGAGCACCAGCCTGCAAACTGAAATGTTGCAGGTTCAATTCCAAGTCAGGGCACATGCTTGGGCTGTAAGCCAGGTCCCCAGGTGGGGGTATATGAAAGGTCAACTGATTGATGTATCTCTAGCACATCAATGTTTCTCTCCCTCTCTTTCTCCCTCCCTTCCCCTCTCTCTAAAAGTAAATAAATCAAATCCTAAAAAAAAAAAAGAAGAAGAAGAAGAATAGCCCTGGCTGGTGTGGCTCAGTGGAACGAGTGCTGTCCTGTGAACCAAAAGGTCGCTGGTTCAATTCCCAGTCAGGGCACATGTCTGGGTTGCAGGCCAGGTCCCCAGTTGGGGCACATGAGAGGCAACCACACATTGATATTTCTCTCCCTTTCTTCCCTTCTCTCTAAAAAGTAAAAAATCTTAAAATAAAAAAGAATCAACCAATGAATGCATAAATAAGTGCAACAACAAATCAATGTTTCTCTCCCCCCCACCTCTCACACACACACACACACACACACAACTCAATTAATTATTTTAAAAAACAACTCAGAGATGGGTTGGGATCAGGGAACATGGCCCAGACTTGCCGGAGCTGTTTATTTACAGGGAGGGCTACGGGCCCATGAGATCCTTGGGCTGTGGGGCAGAGATAAGTCCTGAACTCCCGCTCCAGCTCAGTCGCTCAGGGCCTCTCACTAACTCACCCTGGGCAGCCTAGGTCCAAGGGCCAGGCACCTGAAAGAAAACGCTAGATGGAGAGGGCATCTCTCCCTCCCTGCCCAGCCCCCCATCACAGAATCCACACCCCTATCAGGATGGCACCAAGTCCAAGGGAGCACAGGGAAGGGAGTGAGGAAGAACAGGGTCAAGAGCACAGGCCAGGGACACTCTCTTCCACTAGGATTTGGCTTTTTCATCCACAGGAACCTGGACAAGAGGCCGCAGGCCTCAGGAAGAAAATGGCCTGACCTTGGGAGACCCTGGGAGAGGCAGGAGGAAGTGACTGATGAGAGTCAAGATAGGGTGCACAGACCAGGGAGGGCAGGAGGCCAGACAGGAAGGGAATGAGGGGAGGAGATGGGCAAAGAGAGGGGAGAGGAAATGGTGAGAGGGGCGGCTGTGCTCCAGTCATCACCCCCTGCAGTTTCCTCTCTGGGCCCAGGCCTGGGGCAGAAGAGCTCTGGGGCACGTGGTGTTATTCCAAGCCCCCCTGTGGCCCCAGAAGGGACCAGCATGGAGAGGCTGTACTCACCCTGGAGGGGCTGTTTCACCCAGACATGATGTGCTTGACAAAGGCTGGGAAAGAAGACAAAGATCAGCCATTGCACACGGCCCCTCGCGGCTCTATATTGTCCTCTTGGCCCCCTAGCCCCTCTCCTCCTTCCCTGGACAGCCTGGCTTCAAACCTTCCCACGGCCCCTCCTCCAGTCTGAGAGTCTTTCTGTTATTCGGGGGCTGGTGGGAGGAGGTGGGAGAGGGAAGACACCTCACCTCTGCTCTGTGTCCACTCTGTGCTGATACCCAACATAGATGAAATGAGATACATTGCCTCTACTAATCCCCACAACCTTGAAAAAGGTGCCTGCATCACCCCATTTCTCAGGTGAGAAAATTGAGGCTCAGAGAAGGTAAGTGACTTAATCAAGGTCACACAGTTCATATATCACGGAGCTATCTCCAAATCCCATGCTCCTTCCATTACACCAGAATGGAAAAGAACAACACCAAAGCCCACCTGGTGCTCATGTCCTCCAGCTCCTGGACCTGTTCTACTTTACAGACCTGCCCGGCCCTTGCTGTGCCTGCTCTCCTACCCCTGGGTACCCGGGGAAGCAAGATGTGACCTCATACCTTCGTAATTGATGCAGCCATTGGCATCCTCTTGCCCAGCTAACAGCTGTTCCACTTCTGCCTCAGTCATCTTCTCTCCTGGGGTGGGGTCAGTGGGCTGTTAATTGCAGATGGCAAAGGAGGGACAGGAAAAACCCAAACACCCCCTCAAGTCTGAAGGCCTAGGACTCCCTGATCTGGTAAGCGGTCATACCAAGCCTCCCCCAGAGGCACTGGAGAGTGGAGCCAAGGGTTCTGAGGCCCTTCCCAGCCCCCAGGGCCTCTTCCTCTGCCTTGCAGCTAACACCGGTTGAGCAAACCAGGGCTCCAGTGACCAAGGCAAGGACAAAGATGGGAACCCTGGGTCCCAATCCTTCAAGTCTCAGCAGTCGCCCTGCTCTGCCAACCTGCTGCCTCCTCCCCCAAACCCAGCTGGGGCAGGCTGTTCCTGCATGGCCCAGGGAGATGGGGCTGGATCAGGATGTGACCCTCATGGTGCAGGGACTCCCACAGTCTACCGCCTTGCTGGCGTACCCAGGGTGGCAAGGACATGGCGAAGCTCAGCACCCATGACTGTGCCGTTGCTCTCTTTGTCAAAAACACGCAGCCCCTCCACGAAGTCCTCGTAGGTGCCCTGCTCCTTGTTGCGGGAGATGTGCTGCAGGATGGGCAGGAACGTCTCGAAGTCCAGCATCTTGGTATTCATCTCTTGTGGTGATGTGGGGAAGGAAAGGAAAATGACACGAGCAGAGTCACAAGGGGAGCAGAGGGCCAGAAGGGGCCTCGCCCCAGCTCTGCCAGGCTAGGACCTGTCCCTGCCATCACCCAGGCTTAGCTGCAGCCACTTCCGGGCACAGCACCCAGTCAGTGATCCTGGGTGGCACAGATCCCCCTGGAGCAAGGCAGGGGGCCGGCTTGGGGTGCTCTCCTCAGGGACACCCCAAGGGACTCTCCTCACGGCTCCTTTTCGCTTTCCGGCCTAAGCGAAAAGGAGCCGTGACTCCTCCTGGACCTCTGAGCTCCAGGAGTCAGCAGACAGTGACAGCAGCAGAACATGAGGGGCCCAAAGGACGCACAGCCCAGCCTGCACATTCACAACTTAAGCTTTAGACACTTGACAGACAGTCATGGAGGTAAACTGATAGGATTGCAAATAAATTTTTTTTTTTCGTAACTCTGCATTTGGGTCTCATTGCTAGACCACACTGCCTGGAACTACTCTGAATCAATAATTTTTATACACTTGCAAATATTTTGTGACAAGCACGTTTCTCCCACATTGCAGTGTGTTAAAAGCTTCAATTTAATAGATGTAAACCATTGTTAAAAATACCACAAATTCTGGCATTTCTCTCTTTTATAACAACCCCAAACCATGCCCCCAAGTGGAAGTGCCCAGATAACCGCTGCTTTGGGCCAGCTGCTGGCCTCTGGCACTTTCCTGCCCGCATCCTTCCTGCTGCACTGTTGTCATCTGCAGCAAGAGGAGGAGGGGACGGGGACCAATATGGGGCCCAGCAGGCCTCCAGAGATGGCTCACCCAGGTCTGCCTGGCCCCACCTAGTGCGTACGCCTCTGAGGAGAAGGACATGTGATAGGGCAGCTGTTACCTTGACTGCCTCACGTGACGGGGGACATTCACCAGTGGGACACAACTCCCTGGCACCACTTTCTAAACCTCGTCCACCGAGTGCAAGTGAGTGAAAGGAATCGTTCTAGAGCTAATCTTGAATCTGCTGTAATTTATATTAAATGAATAATTTGCCATCTTCAGCACTCTGACCATTATCGGAAGCAAGTTATTTGTGATAAAACTCACAAGGGTCACAGGATATCTCGGTGCTGTGGTACCTGGACCAAGAGCTCCTGGGTGGGGAGTGGGGGCAGGTGGTTAGTTATCAGATGCCCATCAAGCCCCTCTGCCCCAGCATCCCTGGCACCCTTGAGTGTCAGAGGAAGACAGATGTCGCCCCTGCCCTCCAGATGCAAGCCCAGGCCACATTCTTCAAGGGTCAGCTCAGTGCCAGGTGCTTCGGGATAAATTCTCCAAATAAGAGGCAGGTAACCTGGGGGAGGGAAGGCTGGTCATGAAGGGTTAAAGGGGGAGAAGCGAGAGAGCAGCTGACAGGAGGCAGATGGGAGGTGGGGCGGGTAGGGCAGGCTGAGCCCAGGGCCTGCGCTGACCTTCCGGCTTGGGCTTGCCCAGGACGCGCAGCACCTCAGCGTTGGTGGGGTTCTGGCCCAGGGCCCGCAGCACGTCCCCACACTGCCCGTAGCTGATCTTCATCTCTCCAGTCGGCGTCCGGTCAAACAGTGAAAAGGCCTCTTTGAACTCTGCAGAGACAAGACCCAGCTGCAGCCCCTGGGCCAAGTGAAGGGATTGCGGGGTGTGGGGGGGTGGGCTGCTGATCAGCCTCCACCCGGGCCGAGGAGCAGGTCACTGTGGCTTATAAAATATTTCAATATTTCCCTCCTAGCTCTTCCCTGGAACTGTTTTGTGACAACTAAAGAGGCCGCCCAGCGCCTCCAGGACCTATTCCAATGCTGGGCCCGGGACCTCTTCCATCAGTTGACTGTCACATAATTTGAAGGTCTCCCCTGCTTCCACCCCTCCCATCCACACACCCTTCCCTGGCGTAGGTGAGGATCCTGACTGTTGAAAACAGCAGGGAAGTGAAAATAGCACTGGTTCAGGAGACGGGGTTCCCGGGTTCTCGCCTGCCTTTGAGGAGTGTGCCGGATAAGCCTGCTAGGTCTGTTTTCCCGGGCACCACGGGGAGCAACAGCGCCACCCACCGAGCACTCCCAGTTACTAGGAATGTCAAAGGAGAAAGTATGTGGAGGCACTCTGCAAAATGGTAAGATCTGTTCGAAAGTCAGCTAATTAATATCCGTACTTCCTGTTCCAGGCTGAAAGGGGGCTCCGGGGCCACGCAGGGTGACATGGTGGAAACAGACCACCTGACTCTTGCCACTGACCAGCACGTGGCCTTGGGCAAACTGCTCTGAGTGCCCTCCTTTTCTTAGCTCCAGGTGGGATACAAAGTCCACCTGAGTGGGCTGCTGAGTAGAATGACAAAGGATGGTTATGACTGTATTTCCTGGTTCTCAGGCCAGCTCAGATCTACAGGGAACTACGTACGGTCTCTGAAGGGACCAGAGCAGGTGCTTGAGAGGCAGGGCTTAATTAAGGCACCCCGGGCCCTTACAGAGAACCCTAATTCCTCACTAATTTGGATGCAAGCAATTCGTTACTGTGGGTAATTTGGACTGGAAATGGCACTGAAGTGACCTTATGCTCTCCGCAAAGAAATGGTTTACTAAGCAGATTAACGATATAAACCAAAGAAAACTGTGTAAAGTACTTAGGAGAAAAGCCGTTTTTAATCCTCTCCAAGTACTTTAGAAACAATTATTTACTTGGAGGCTATATATGGACTATTTACAGATCATTCCACATATCAAAGCAGGTTCCTCAAAACTTTTACTTGCAACTCTATCGGTCTTTGGGTGACTTTAAAAGATGTAAAACTGAATGTCTTTCACATTCCGGAATAACTGAGTTCAAATTCTATTTCCATTGCTTACTAGCTGTGTGACTTCAGGCAAGTAGATATTTAACCTCCATAAAACCTCTTCTATAAACAGCACCTATGTCACAGGGTTTATATTATAAATTACATCCAAATTATATCATTTATGTAAATTATTTTTACATGTTATTTACTTTTACCTAAATACAATATGTAAAAATTCTTAACACAATAAACAGCACATAGTAAATTCTTAAACAATGCTATTAGTATTGTTTTACTGAGTTTAATTCCAGTTTTACCACATAACTATGTGACCTTGGCCAATTCACTCAACTTCAATAAACCTTGGTTTCCTCCTTTGTAGTAAGGAAATAACACCAATCTCACAGCTTTGTTAGAAGGGTTTAATTTTTTTTAACCTTTGAAACAATTAGCTTGCTTTCTGGCACAAATTCAGTGCTTAATAAATATATATTGCTTAGCTGGATCTGAACTCAGACTTTTTAATCTTCTCCTGACTCATTCAGAAGAGTGAAGTCAGATTTAATAAAAGAAGCCTCCTCATAAAAGAATTTAACAATACCTAATAAGAGCATGGAATATGTAGAGGAAAGGAGTAAGAACAACCTATGAGCCCTGGCTGGTGTGGCTCAGTGGACTGATGCCAGCCTGCAAACTGAAGGGTCGCCAGTTTGATTCTCAGTCAGGGCACATGCCTGGGTTGAGGCCAGATCCCCAGTAGGGGGTGCACAAGAGGCAACCACACATTGATGTTTCTCTCCCTCCTTTTTTCCCTCCCTTCTCCTCTAAAAATAAATAAATACAATTTTTAAAAAAACTATATAAAAAAAAGAACAACCTGTGTTTGAGTGCTTATTGTGGGCCAGGCTCTGAGTGATTAATTTCATCACCTCATTAATCTTTACAAAAACCTTATGCTACAGGTATTATTATCCTCATTTTAGACCAATGCAGATGTGACTTCTGACCAGCTGTTAGGGAAACCAAGGGAATGGTGAGGAGGAAGGAGAAGGAAGAGACCTGCTGTACCACCTAATGCTCCAGCCTTCTGGAAAACCTGGCTTCTGGAAAACCTGGCCTCCAGGAAAACCTGGTACACATATAAAAAACAAACACTGGAGTTTAGAAAACTTGCTACTAGAAAAAAAACAAAGCCAGTGTGATCTTGAGGGGTGTGAGAGGTGATGTTAATGAACTCAGAAGAAACCTTTTCTCAATAGTCCGTAGTAGTCAGCTGCTTGCTGGAGAAGCAGGCAGTGGTGGCAACCCCTCTTGAGAAGGACATGGAAATCTGGAGAGGGGTCTGAGAAGGATGTCAAGGGTTAGAATCTAGTTCTATGAGAAAAAAAGACATAAAAGAAATTTGGGCCATATCACTGGGAGAATATAAGCCTACGAAGAGATCTGATAAGTGTCTTCAAACAGACAGAGGGTTATCTGGAGGACACTGAACGCACTCACAGCATTTCTGAATTGAAAAGAACCCTACTTTGCAGATAAGAAAATTAAGGTTTGCAGAAGTGACTGCTCAAAGTCTCATGGTCACAGTGGCAGAATGTGGGCTAATACCAAAGTCTCCTAATTCCAAATAATGTTCTTCCCAGCATGCGAGAACCATCTTCAGCTTCATCAATGAGCAAATGAAGAAGAAGCTGGGGTAAAATGAAAGCAGCAACAATTATGATCCAACATAAGGAAGAATGTCTTCAGAGTCAGCGGGGTGAAGGACCGGAAGGAGGTAGGCCCCCAGCCCTGACAATCTTCACGGAGAAAGGGGCAACTGGCTGTCCCAGTTGGTTTGACCGTGACGCCCATTCGAAAAGTGAAATATGTTTATCTTGAGTTGATTTCCTAGTCCTTTGGGGCGCTGAGGTGTTTTTATATCCACAAAGGTATATCTTTAACTAAAAAGCATGAAAATTAATTTTAATAATTTTACAACATCCTAAGCTATTACCTGAAAATGCGTGTGCACAGGGTACTGCAAAAACGGAGTCAGACTCAATTCACTGATTTCAAGATGCATCTGCCAGTCTTCATGCCCCATGAGTGGGTGAACTGGCAACACCTTTTCAAGGGCAGTTTGGCAGTAACTATTACAATTAGCATGCACGTATCCTTTGACCACTGCTAGGAAGGTCCCCAGAGAAAGCAAACTGATATTCCCCAACTGGAAACAACCTAAATGTCTCTCAGTGTAGGCCTATACCTAATTAAAAGGTACATCTATGTGTGAGAATCTATATAATTGTTTAAAAGAATTGAAAAGTATAACTGTTTGTGTTAAATATAAAAATAAATAAATAAATATATTATTAAACAATATATTATATATTACTAAATCCAAGTATATATGGGCCAGCACAAATAATGTCCCCTTTTTATTACAAAATCTTTTATCACAAAATCATAAGCATGTTATCCTGTAACATAACAGTATCATACTCAAGCACCTCATGTGACATTTTAGGTGAAATATTCACATTAAAACTATAAATTATTATACTCATATGATTATCCTGCCCACCACACACAAGCAGGTGCTACTTCCGCCATACTCTGTATATTAAATAAAGGGTATGAGACTGTATGTATCATGTGACTTGATTTGTGTAAGCTTTATACATACATACATACATACATACATATAGACTGGTATATCACTACATATTTTTCTCAAAGGATATACAGACCTATTAACAGTGGTTGTCTTTGGGAGAGGAATCAGCATAAAAGGAAAGCAAGGGAAAATAGTTTTATTTTTCATTATTTACTTTTAAGTAGTTTGTAATTTTTTTTTTACCATGTGCACATATTAGTTTAATTTTATAAATATAGCATGTGATTAAAATCGAGGGGTTGGACCAGATGACCTTTCAAGGTCCCTTCCAACTCCTCTGATTTTATGTCCTGGGGGCGTCTGTGGGGAAGCAGGGATAAGCTGCAATGCAACGAGCCCCAGCTGTGGAGCAGATGCACATTATGACACATTTCATTCTCAAAACACCAGAATATGGGCTACGAAGCAACCATCAAGTTGGTAGGTAGATAGAGATCTTGAGGCTTGTTTTGAAGCTACACTAAATATCACTTTATATAAGATTGAGAAAAATAAATAGCTTCATCAAAGATGGAGAAGTGTGACTGATGGAGGTCACAGGTGGGCCAGGGCATCCCCAAGCCACTATTGGCCCTGCCACCATTAGTGGGTCAGCATCTTGGCAGACTTCAGGAGGAGGAGAGAGGAAGCTGGTAAACCGAAGGAGGGCTTTCCGATAAAGGAACAGAAGTGAGTTCTAAATATGTTGTAAAGTAGATTTTGGAGGTAGAAGGACAAAGAGGCATTTTTGCTGTGCAGTGCACCTGCTACATTCCAGGTGGTCTGGCAGAGTCGTTGAGAACTCAGGTCTGGAATCAGATGGCCTGAGCTGGAATCTTGGCTCCACCACCAACTGCATGTGTGAGACTGGGCAAGCCACCCAGCTTTTCTGTACCTCTGTTTTATCACCTGCAACATGGGTAGTAACAGTCCCTACCTCACAGGGTGGTTGTGAGAATTAAATGAGCTAATGCATGCTTAAGTAGTAACATGTAGTAGGCAACAGTGAGCAAATAGCAAATCTATGGCAAATATAAGTTTGCTATTATGATAGTGATGGTGATTACTGTTTCAGTGATGATGATAACTTTTCCTCTTTCTCCTCCTCCTCCTCCTCCTCCAGGAGGTGCAAGAGAGAGGGTGTAGTGGGGGAGTTGCGGTTGTTAGTACTCACCCTCGATCTGGTCGGCAGTGAAGTCTATCTGTGGGGAGAGAAACACAGAGGAATGAGACTGCCAAAGGCCTCCAAAGGGAAGCAGAAGTGGCTCCCACCACAGCCAGGCCACTGATGAGGACGGAAGGAGCCTGTGGGCTGAGGGTAAAACACCAGTCCCCTGATGAGTGGGACACGACTCGCAGGCTGTAAAATAATGATGCAGCCTCCATGTCTCTCTCAATAGCGCTTGTTAAGTGACAACTCCAAGTGAGAGAGGGACTGAAAGAGAAATATCTCAGACAACAAGAGCCTACACTCACTCCCTGTCAGAATTCCTTTGGGTCAAATGTAAATTCCTTGTCCTAGCAGCCGTAAACTAACCTCACTTTCATTCCTTCCGTCTCTCTCTGCTCCACACCCTCCCACAAGCCATACATCCTCTCCCTTTGGGCACCCCCCACTCCTCACTCTTGGCCTCCCTTCCCTACCTCGTGTTGACCTCAAGTCACCTCCTTCAATGAAGCCTCCCCTCTCCCCCGCCCCGTTCCTTCCCAACCCCGCCTTAGCACACACCCCTCTTGGGCACTCTGGGGCAGCAGGAGCAGTTTGGGTGGGCCCTCAGTGGTCTGAAACTGCTTTCCAGTCATGCCTGGTTGTGCATCCTGACTCCTTGAAGCCAAGGTTCCCGCAGAGCAGTGGCATTTGTAATTGTCCACAGAAATGCCTGCCATTGAGTAAGTACTCAATAAATATTTGTGGAGCAAAGATATAAACTTTGCATTTTCCCTCCAAAGCATAATAATTTAAATCTGAGTACAGAAGAGAAAAGTAGGAGGCTCTGAAAATGAATGACAATGACCAAGTATGAGGTATGAGTCATCATTTCTATTCAGGACCTTGTACGTTACTTCATTGTCCTTATCTACCACCGCCGCCTCCCAAAAGTCCCCTCCCAGCTGGTGGTGGCAACCGATCCTGGAGCACCTTCCTCATGTACCCGACTCCTGAGTCCTAACTCTGAGCTGTGCTGTGCCCACCCAAGGCGGACCTCTGTTAATGAATGAGGACCCCAGCAGGTGGCTGGAATGAGCTAGAAGAGTGGGAGAGGGGTTACACTGGGCTGGGAAAAGAACTAGCTGTGGCCAGGAATAGACTGCCAAAGGTGGTGGGTGGTCAGGAAGTGAAAGGAACCCCCTTAAATGGGCTAAACATTGCTTTGCATGAACTCTCTGAGGAAAGGTACAGTTTTTGCCTTATTTTGCAATTTTTTAAAATCTTTTTCATTTATTGACTCTAGAGATAGGGGAAGGGAAGGAGGGAGAGAAACATAGATCAGTTGATTCTCGCATATGCCCTGACTGTGGACCGAACCCGCATCCCAGGCATGTGCTCTGATCAGGAATGGAACCTGTGACCTTTGGGTTTGCAGGATGACGCCCAACCAACTGAGCCACACCGGCCAGGGCTATTTTGCAATTATTTAAGTCCCAGGAGTACATGTGTAAGAAATATTAATAGAAAGACATAACATCAGAATGTACGGTCAGAGCCACCCATATTGGGGTTAAGTTACTTTTGCTCTATCTTTGAGAAAGGAATCTTCTAAGCAAAGAAACTAAGAAGTACAAATAACAGAAAAAATAGCCTTTATGAAAGACACCTACTTTTTTTCCACTTTAAAGCAACTTAAAAAAAAAAAAAACAACAGGATTGGAAGATCCAGACCAGGGAAAGAGGACTGAAACTGGGTCAAAGAAAGCTGTGGGGGGGGGAGGAGAGGTGAACGGAGGGAGGTGACAGGCGAGGGAAGGCATTCGTCTGATACCACCAAGCAGCTGTTGCCCAGACGCCAGGGACCGGGCCTGGCAGTGGGTATCCCACAGGACTAGTACACTAGCAGAACCAATCAGAAATAAAAGCATCCTGACAGGGAGAGAGTCAGCTTTTCTTGCCAGGCTCTGCCCATAGAAGGAGTAATGTATGACCTGAAATACCTACAGGTATTTTTAAGATCTCCCACCATGCCTCAGTTTCCCTGGAGTGTGCCATAACTAAGCTCAGGGATGCAGCAACTGCCTCTATCTCTTGGCCAATCCCATTCTGCTTCACTTCTGCCCCTGGAGGCACTGCCACAGATCAACCCCAGGGGCCTTGGCACGACTGCAGGGTCTCTGGGGCTGTGGGAGCTGGGAGGAACCCTCAGAAGGCCAGGGAGGTTCACCCAATGAGAGTCCAGGGCTTTAGTTTCCTGCCTACTGTCACAGACCCTAGTCCTGAGCTCTTATTTTGCTCTGACTCCTCACCACCCCCAGCCCTGACCTCAGGCTGATATTCCCGGGGGCCCACAATGCCCAGCCTGTTATTAATAGCTCATCATACCAGTGGCCACTTGACATCTTACATTCTGGTGCCAAGGCTTAAAACTGCTTCACTCTCCAGAGGCCTCTGACCTGCTCCTTTCTAGTCCCATTACCTCCCAGTTCCATTGCTTCCCCAGCTGGGCAGAGAGCTGGGAGGCATAAAATGACTCAGTCAGCAGGCAGGGCCTACCCCAGCTCCAAAAAGGAGAACCTTCCAGTGTGAGGGGAGCAGGGCAGGGCAGAGAGGGAACAGGGCTGAGGCGGCAGAGGGAACCAGGCCCCGCAGCCTCACCGGGCTAGAGAGAGGGTCTCAGCTGGCATGGGCCAGTGCTCTGCACATGCCAGATGGGAGCCAGGCCAAGGCCACAGGAGGAGGGGCCCACCTGGGTAGGGTAGAAGAGAGGGAACCAGGCTTCTCTCATATTATCTAGAGCCTCTGGGCCTCCCACCCCTGCACACTGCAGGAGTCTGTGTGGTCGGGAAGCCTTCACCAGCACAGGCAGCACTCTCCCTCGCCACCAGCATCGCTTACTCCAACTTCCACTGGCAGTTATCACTATGCGTCTCTTCTCCAGATAGGTTTCATGCTACACTGAGGAGAAGGTCAGTCTCTTAACAAGGTCGGGTGGTCGCACCTCCCTGCCATTCCCAACTCTGCTGGGCAAATTAGGGTTACAAAGCAGCACTCCCTCTGACAGGGCAGAAACCTGTTCTCCAGGGGCAAGGCCAACAACCCGAAATACCCCTCAGCAGCCCCCACACCTGCTCCAACACCCTGCAAGGCTGGGATCTGGGGCTCGGACACCACAGGCTCACCCCAGTCCAGCCTCCGTGAAGTAGATCTCCAAGCTCCAGGTGAATAGGGTCCTGAATGTCATCCCCACCCCTGTCCCGGGCACTGAGGCTCACTTACCTTGATACTCTTGGGGTCAAAGGCAGGTTCCTTGGGGGGCTCAGGAGCTGGGGCAGGGGCTGGGGCGGGGGCAGGGGCTGCCTTGGCTGCTTCCTTCTTAGGCTCGGGCTTCTTGGGAGGCATGTTGCCTTGTTGGAGTCTTTGGTGGAGGTGGCACCAAGGAAGAAATCAAGAGACGCAGTGCCTGGGAAATGAGATAGGAGACTGGGCCACCTCCCTCTCCTTTTATCCTGGGCAGGAGCCCCCACAGAAGGGCTGGGTGAGAGCAAGAGCAGCTGCTACTGACTATAAAAGGAAGAAATACCAGCAGGGGACAGCTGACAACTGTGTATTGTCACCAGGTTTGGGGCTACCAGCCCCCTCCCCCTCTCCCCAATCCTCACACCCCTCAAGGCTTCCACCTCTGGGACAGGCTGACCCCCTCCTGCCAATTGGTGGAAATGCAGAGGGGCCGGGAAAACAGGCCCTCTCAAAAATGCCAGCGCCCAGCCAGAGAGATGAGCTGACTTGAGCGGCTGATAACCCTTACACAAAGCCCAGGGGAGGGTCAGGCTTTTTTTAGCCCCTCCCGAGCTGAGGCAGCCCACTGCACATTCCTTTCAAGCCAAGGTCCTTTAAGCTGAGAGCCACTCTGGGGCCTCAGCTTTGCCCTGAGGCTCAACTCTCAGGCCCGGAGCCCTGAAGCAACAGCTGGTCCAGCAGTGCACACTGCCCCACCTGCTCCCAATTCAGAGTGAACTCCCCATCTTCCAGAGCAGGCATCCTGGGAACACCACAGAGCTCAGATCCCCACATCTACCACCCCCACTGATCTTATTCATTCATTCAACCAGTACTGAACACTTAACATGAGCCCAGGGTCCCAGGGTGAGACTCGGAGGGGTGTGGCTGAGTGGCGGTAAGAATGGGGGTCAGAAATCTCCGGTCTCGTTTTTACTACACCTCTGACTCATTCTGTGCCCCTGGGTGGGGGTGGGGGAGGTGCTTACTATGTACCAGGCACTGTTCATGTAAGTGCTGTTCATGATCTCATTAAAGCTTCGCCACAGTCCTATAAGGTACATATTGTTATCACTTGCATATTACACATGGGCAGATTCAAACTAAAAGTGGTAACAGCTTAGAAGGCACTCAGCTAATGATCTATGAACTGCACAAGAGCCCAGGAGTGTCTGATTCTGAAGTTTATGCTTGAATGTTTGATATTGGAATCCCACTCGTGTTTGTGTTCATCAGGAAGGTCACGGTGAGCACACACCAAACCGTTAACAGGAGACACCCTCGGGGACCTACAGGGTGAGGACAGGATGATGACAGCAATTTGCAGTTAGTTTGTTACTTTTTCACTTCCTGTATTCATGGAAATTTTTATAACAAACACGTGCTATTTTTGTAAAAAAAATGTCGAAAGTCAATGAATGGTCAGAAAAACAGGAAAAAAAAGCTTATCCACTGCACAGAATGGCTTTGAGCTGCATCTCGAGACTCTACAGTTCACAAGACAGAGAGAAATAATGCTGAGGAAGGCAGAAGAATCGCTTTGCCTTTCTAGGCCCAGTTCCTCACCTACAAAGCCAGATTGCTCGACTGTTTAACGCCTGGTCCCTGTTAGCTTCCAAGCTTGCAGTTGTAGGTGCCCTGGAACCGACATTGCCCAGGCTCCCTAAGCACAGGCTCCGAATCCCAGACCTTCCAGGGCCCAAAGGGCACTTAGAGATCGTCCCATCCCATCTGGTTTTATAGTGAGGAATCTAAGCCCATGGAAACGTCGGAGCTACCTCAAGACATACAGGCAGAGCTGAACATCTAATTCTGGCCCTGTGCGTGGTGCTCTGACATCACCCTGCCCCTCCTGAGCGCATACCTGCTCTCACTGGTAGTGGGTGGGGAAGCCTTCAACAGGAAACTGTGACGGGAAAAGGAACCAGGACTTGCTCAAGGGGACACTAGAGCAAGACCACAGCGCAGACCATTGGGTACTCTTGCTGCTGTGCTGGCGTGGAGGTTCTTCCGCTCTTTTCCCCTCGCCTCTTCTCTTCATCTGCCTCCCCTTCTCTCTTCCTTCTGACTCCTTGTCACCTGCTCCCCTTCCTGGTGCCTCTGCTTGCATCCTTCCTGTTTCCCAGTCTGACCACTGCCTGACTACCTGATTCCCCAGGAGGGATGGGAACTCAGGTTGTTGGTGATGAGGAAGGAAGAAAGAGGAAGTTGGGCCTCTCCCCACTCTCTACTCCCACCGGCATCCCCTCTCTGACCAGGTGTCCTTTGCGGTGGTGGGGCCGGGGATATACAAACTGGGGTTTCTGTAGAAAGCAGCAGGCCAGGGGCTGGGTGACCCAGACACTAGTCCTCACTTTACCAGCCACGTCCCTCTTTGGGTCTCAGCTTGCTTGTCTCCGAAATGAGAGATGATCAGGAGCTTTCAAGTGGTGTTCAGCAGACACCCATGGCTCCCCTGACTTACTTCCACTGCAAGGGACGCAGAAGGGCCAGGTCTTGGAGCTTCCCCAGCCACACCACTCTACTCAACACCGCTCTGGTGGGCTTTAGGTACTGGCTGGCCCACGGCCGTGTTCTAAGAAATGGTTCCATGGTTTAAACATGTTAAAATAACCATTGAATTGAGGTCCTCTCATATGTCCCCTTCCAGTTAAAAAAACAAATTATTCTAATCATTCTAGAGAGAAGTGTGATCTTCAAAAGACAGAGCTGGGACATGGTCCTTTCCTTTTCTTTTTCTTTCTTTATTTCCCCTTCCTTCCTTCTTTCCTATTCCTCCCTTCCTTCCTTCTTTCTTTTTTCTTTCTTTCTTTCTTTCAATTCTAAGGAGAAGCAAAATATCCAGTCTGCTGGGGAACAGAGCAATGAGGCTAGAAAGCTGGGGCGGGCTGGGGCTTGAGTGGCATTGGGAACATAGAGACGGGGTGGGATTTGGAGGCTGACCAGCATGGGTCTAAATCTGGGTTTTGCCATCATTTCCTGGGGCCCAGTCCCCTCAGGCCCTTCCCTAGCATTTCCTTTTCCAGCAGCTGTGAGATTTGCATGAAATAGTGTCAGGAAGGCTCCACAAACCACCTCTGGCATACAGGAAACATTCATAGCTCTTCATTTCTTTTTGCTTCCCCAGGCAGATGAAGCTAGAGGGTCCTCAGATTTCTCCAATTTCTGTAAAAAATTCCAGGAGGGGGCCTACATGAGGGAGGGACCAGGAAGGTGGCAGTGGCTAACGAGAGTGTAAGGTGTGGATTTAGGAATGAGGAAGAAGTGGAAAGGAATGGGGCAGAGGGAAGGGCAGTGGCTGGGTACCCACAGTGTGAAATATCTGAGGCTCAGAAGCAGGTAGCAGGTCCCTGGGGCCAGGCAGATTAGGAGCTCCTCTGCCTGAAGCCTTAGGCCACAGACGCCCCAGTGGGGGCAGAGACGCTCCTCATACTAGTTTCTAATTCTCTCTAAGCAACCCCAGCTAAAAAGGTGTCTGGCACTTCAGAAGCAACCAGAGGGGAACTGTGGGTTCCCAGAAGGAGCCTTGCATCAAGAATCAGGGTCCGCAACACTAGCCTTGTTATTCCTGAAACTCACCTGCCCGAGGTCCATAAGAGCCTAGTAGCTGGAGACAGAGGTTTCACTTTCTTATGGTCCTCATTCTGTTTCATGGTCACTGACTTTCACCTTCAAATCTTATCTGCCCAGAGTATCATCCCAGGGACTATGACAGGGTCTCACCCTCCGATACATGTTGACCAACCCAGAGCAAAGGGAAGGAAGAGAGAAGGGGAGAGGCAGGAGTGTGAAGAGGCGAGTATGATAGCAGGTACTGACAGCCCGACAACTGCCCCCAGGCGGGGGGGTGGGCGCGCATCTAGTGATCCCCCAGCCACATTCGCTCCAGCCCACTCAGATGCTCCCACTGGAAGGACTTCACACTGAGTGCAAGAAAAACATAGGACAGAATTTCACACCAACCAGTTTATACCACATGTCAAAGTCAGAGCCGAATGCACAGAGGAGAAATGACATCAGCCCTCGTGTGGGCTGTATACACACTTACTCACCCTCCTCCCCTCACCTCTCTCTAACCACACAGTCTGCGTGCTGCCCTGAGAGACATCTGCTAGAGTCTGCAGCCTGGGATTGAATGCTGCTGACCACAGGCCTGGGCATTAATGCCCTCTCCTTATCATCCTCCCTCCTCTCTTCTGCCAGCATCTCATAAGCTAGACACCGCAGGGCAATGCCCTGGCCAACACCACCTTATAGTCTGTTTCTGGAAGATACTGGCTAAATCAGCCTCTGCTGCAAGGCAGAGGTGAAGAGGGGCCCCTCAGGAGTCAGACTGCCTGGGTTAAAGTCCTAACTAGATTAGTTCCCTAGGGAAGCTAGTTAATTTCTTGACGTCTCAGTTTTCCCATCTATCAAATGTGGCTGCCAACATAACCTCATAGAGTGGCTGTGAGGATTAAATGAGCTCATATGGGTGACAGGCTTCCCACAGTGTCTAGCAGAGAGCAAGTGCTCAAAATCCTTCAGCTTGAGTCTAGATTTCACTAGTGTGACCGTTGCTCCCTCTCCCAAGGTCAACCATGGAAGAATTATAAAGAGAAAATACCAAGCCCTGGCCAGCATGGCTCAGTTGGTTGGAGCATTGTCCTGTAACTGAAAAGTTGCAAGTTCAATTTCCAGTCAGGGGCACATACCTAGGTTACTGGTTCAATCCAGGTCTGGCGTGTATGATCAACATTTCTCTCTAGCATCAATGTTTTTCTCTCTCCCTTCCTCTCTTTCTAAAGTAATGAAAAAAAAAAGTCTCCAGGTGAGGATGAAAAGGAGAGACAGAGAAAAAATACAAGATAAAGATATACCAGTTTTGAACTGGTGTGTGCGGTAGAGGGGTGGCTTTGGTTTGGGGAGGAGAGGGCCAGTGCTGGCTGTGGGATGATAAGAAAGAAAAGATGCTGCGGGGTTCCGATCCCTCTTTTCATCCACCACTGTCATAGAACCAACAGTGACGCCCATCACCTGCGAGACTCAAGCCTGTGATCCATGGGCTGGCGATACCAGGGCCCTGAAGACAGGCTGTGCTGCTGGAGAGCTGATAAAAAAACAGGTAGGAGCAATTGAACTTGAACAGTTGTTTCCTCTCCTCATCCCCTAAACTCTCAGGGCAGGTGACTTGCAATCTAAGAAGCACCTCCCCTTAAGGCTAAAACTGAAGTTCCCAGAAAAGAAAATGAAAGAAAATGCTTATTTGTGACTTAGTAAGATAGGGACAAGAATTTATGCTAAAATAAAAGCCTCTCATGCTGCACCTTTTCTACCAGAAGCATG